AGACCAACAAAGTTTTTGATTTCACACAAAATTATGAGATAAACTTCTACTTTTTCACTGCGTACATTCACAGCATACTTCCTATGTTTACGTACAACAGGACGCCATCACACACGCATTTGTTTCGTTTGTGTCTTGTTTGATTTCACAATAAATAGATTTGATTCACATTCCATTCTGAGATTTAAATGATCGAAAGTTTTTTTTAAATTATAAAAACCCATTTATACGTTCCAGATTTGAATTTTTTCCATTTTTGCCCTATTATGTTGAATTTATCTTAATAAATTCACTTCAAATTCTGAATGATTTTGTCTGCCATCAGGTAAAAATGAGCATCATAGGAATGAAAGTAAAACTGTCGTTCACAAATTGAATGACATTGGATGGATGTGATAGGTATTTTATTAATCCTGTTTATATATAAGAACGTAAATGACGCTTCTATTTCAGAATGACAATGGAAATGTTCCTACTATTTCACTAATTTCAGAAACTTTTCTTGAATACACTTGCAAAAACTCAAGTTCTGTAATCAATGGAGTCTTTGAAATGACAAAATTGTTCAATTTAAAATTTTTAGCTAAATGAGTGACAGAGGGAGATTGTCATTCGTCAATATGAGGAACATTCATTAGTCATTCGTTAGGAGCTGTAAGAAAAAATTTGTTGTTTTCGATGTAAAAGGATGTTTTTCAATTAAAAGAAATGCAATACTTGATTTTTGGAAATACGATGCTAAAATTAATGATCCGTATTATAATTCAATAGACGTTACGATTTCAGAATTATCTTCAAAAAGTTTGTTTGTGTTCATTTGATCAGAAGTTTTTGATCGTTTGATCAGAAGTTTTCATTTGTTTGATCAGAAACAGAAAAAGTTTTTGTTCGTTTGATCAGAAACAACATAATTATTCATTCTCTTGCACTAAGTATACGAATCACGAATGATTAGTTGGACTCCGTTACTACCACGTAAGCTTGATATAAGCTTTTTGTCCTTTCGATAAACAGAGTTTATTTAGGTTCTATTGACCACAATAGCCTACTAGGTAGAACGATGCTACATATTTGCGGCCATCCAATGATCGGTTGACGGCTTTGACTCTCGATACCACTGCAATAATTTTTTCAAGTTTTAGGCTTCCAAAAATATTTCAAACCTCTATCAGAAATATCATAATTAATCATTCTCTTGCATTGAGCATATGAACATTATGCATCGTGCTGCCGCTGCCGCGATCGTCATTCGTTTTTGTCATCTGCATGCCGGAGGCCGGCTTTCGTTGTTCTATGTAGTCTCGCTCCCATGAATTGCGTGTTTAGTGTGTGCATCATGGAAAAGTCTGCTTTACATTGTAGTCACGGTAATTGTAGCTAATTACTTTATGAAGTTTAGTTCTTTGCTGTCATATTAAGAGACAAATCTTTAACGAACTAGTACTTTATATAATTTTAATTGTTGAGTGAAAGCTGCAGGCACGCAACATTTCCAAGTGATTACTTTATAGAAACTTTGCATACCTTTACCTATACATGTTTAAGCCTATAAGAAGTTAATGTTTTTGCCTCAAATAATGTTGTATCGAAAAACTGGTCTAGGTGTATCGGGAATAATATATGAACTGTAAATTTTAGAATTCCATTCTGCGGGAACTCATCGCAACTGATTTCCAGACAAGCTTCACTGCATCCTGATCCATCCAACATACCGGAAACCTTATTTTTTTAAATAGTTGGCCAAAGACTGACAAATATATTAAATGCAAGAATTTCAATCTAAATGTGTCGGCAAGATCTTCTGAAGGCGTAAATTTTGCTACTGAAGCATCGCAGTGTGGAATTCTGCATAGGTAATATATTCTCATGTCAATATAAGAAAATGTATCGAAATACCAACCCTACTGCCGCATTACACCACCTTCCACTGCAATGAAAATTTATAAACTGAGCTCATTAGAAACTGCCGTGCTTCCGAAATCGCGCGTGGTTTGAAATCCAATCCCGTGTTGCCAACGACTAATCAAGTTAACTAGTCGTTTATCTGTAGGCTAGCGGATACATTTCTGCAATAAATACGTTCTAAAATAAAAAAAAACACATCCAGCTTCGTAAAAAATTCTCACGATTGGACAACACCAACAAAGTTTTCGATTTCACACGAAATTATGAGATAAACTGCTACTCTTCCATTGCGTATGTTTCTACGTTTACGTATTACAAGACGGTGTCACACACAGTAATGTTTTGGTTGTGTCTAGTTTGATTTCACAATAAATAGATTTGATTCACATTCCATTATTAGATTTAAATGATTGAAAGTTTTTTTAATTATAAAAACCCATTTATACGTTCCAGATTTGAATTTTTTCCATTTTTTGCCCTATTATGTTGAATTTATCTTAATAAATTCACTTCAAATTCTGAATGATTTTGTCTGCCATCCCCAGTTTTTGAACATTTTGTGTCTTTTCAAAAATTTTTGTTGTTTAACATAGGAAACTATTTCATTATATAACACATACAGCACGTACCATATAGTGCATTAATAATACAATTTAATTTAATAAAAATTAATTTTTAATTTAAAAAATATAATCAGATTTTTAATTCAATATTTTTCTAATAGAATTTTATTCTACAGCATTTACCATCTAGTGTATTAAATAATAAAATGTGATTAAGTGAAATTTAATTGTATTTATTTTTTTAATTTAATTTTTTAATTCTACAGCTTCAACCGGTAAAAATGAGCATCATAGGAATAATGTAGACTGACCTGATGGACAGGCCATCACATCGATGTAGACTAACCTGATGGACTGGCCATCACTTCGACGTAGACTGACCTGATGGACAGGCCATCACTGATCGCAGCAAACTGCATATATGTGTATGCTCTAATTATTGCGTAAATAAAATTCATATATATGCCGAATGATCTTTTTTCACCAATATGGACAATGATTTCTTTCATTTAAATCTGTATTTATAGATCATTATTCTCGTTAATTACAAAGTTACGGCACTCGTTTGTAACAATTTTTGTGTCGCGTCGCGCGAATTTAACTATTGGAGAACCATCCGCCTAGCTCTACTTCCGCTCGCTAGGCACGCTAGCGTGCAGCATGACTGCATGAGGCGCCGCATTTAGTGGTGATGAACTAATTGCTGCGTGATATTCGCTTGCAAATTATAGATTCGATTGTGACCTTGTGCATATTTTTGATTGTGATATTATCGACATTCTTTTCAAAAGCTTTACTCACCATAAATTGCTGGCTCCTGCCTCTCATAGTTTTAATGTAATTTAAAAAAAAGTGATGGTCTATGTTACCCCAGCTCTTGGGGTTTCTTTGACCGGGTGGTAAATTCAATTTTATTTTTTGGTAAAATAACTCCAAATAACTCCATGCATTGTAGTAGAACTCTTCTAGTTACATATGCAAAAGAAAAATTTTAGGAAAGTATCATAGTTTGCAAATGGGGAGCGCTGCCCCCAAATGGGCAAAATGTGACCATCTAATGGCAGCCGTGATGGGGTAACATTGACCGGTTTGGAAATTAAGTTAAAATTACCATATATAAGACTCTGTAGAGTCTGAAACATGAAGAAAAAAACATTAATAGGTGTATCAAACATAAAATATGTTATAAAGGTACCTATGGTAATTTTAACTTAATTTCCAAGCCGGTCAATGTTACCCCGTCACGGCTGCCATTAGGTGGTCAAAGTTACCCCATTGGGGGGTGGCGCCCCCCATTTGCAAACTATGACACTTTTCTAAAATTTGTCTTTTGCATATGTAACTAGAAGAGTTCTACTACAATGCATCAAAAACTGGAGTTATTTTACCAAAAAATAAAAAAATTGGATAGGGTACTCCGACAGGCTTTAAATAATAGCTCTTTTTCGTGGGTCACATTTTTAATTTTTTAACCTATTAGATATGCAAACTTTTTAAATCTTTCTATTGTGTTACGTAGCCTCAGTATTAGGCCTTTGATGGCCATTGACAAAATTTTTCTATGTCGAATCGTATTGAAGTTTTGAGGGTTTTTGTTAAAAAACGAAAAGTGGTCAAAGTTACCCCGCCGGTCAAAGTAACCCCATTTTACGGTACCTATTTAATTCAGTATCACATTAGCCAACGTGATATGTAGTTTTGCTCGTCTGAACTCTGAATTGCATGTTTAGTGTGCATGATGGAATACTCTGCTTTGCAGCGTAGTTATAATTCCTTAATGAAGTTTAGTCCATTGCGGTCAACTTAAGAGACAAATTTTCAACTAACTAATACTTTTTTATAAGTCTAATTTTAATTGTTGAGTGAATGGTGCAGGTTTACAACTTCCAAGTGATTAGGTACTTTATAGAAACTGAGCAAGGTACTGTACGTGTTTTAAGCCTTTAAGAAGTTCATTTTTTGCCTCAAATAATGATGTTGGATAGAAAAAGTGGTCTTGGTGGATCAAAATGATATATGAACCTTTGAAATTAGAATTCCATCCTGATAAGCGTTGCCAAAGATCTTGCAATATTCATCCACTCTCTGCACAGTGGCAGGAATCAGGGCATGAGATTCCATTACTAAGAAGGAAAATTCTAATCCTGATTGAGGGTAATATGAATGTGCAAAGTTGAATAGAGTCATGGACTTTTGATTAATTTTACAATTTGGCCTGTTCATACATGATACTAATTACTACATACCATAACCATGAAATGAGCGGGAGCCAGAGCAGAGCAGCTTCACCTCATCAAAACAGTACAAAATCATAAAAATAAAATATAAGATTTTTCTATTCTATTTCTATGCTCTAAAATTTCTCAACAATATCAAATTTACTTTGATAACATGAATGAAGTAATCATTAGTAATGTACTTACTGGTAAAAGATTAAATAGATCTATGACTAATCTAACATGTGACTGTTGATTCGAGTAGGTAACAAGCAAAATTAAAATTAGTTATCAAAGTATTCTCGATCTAACTTACTGTATGAGTGTGCTCATCTCCTCTGGTGGATAAAACAAATAATGAAAAAAACGCTAGCAAGTGTAGAGCATTCCTCATATTGATTATGAACTAAATATCAATTCCGGAGCATAATCCGTTTATTGAAGAATGAAGTTTGTTTACTTGCGAGAATGCCACGTCAATTCACCAGGTGGCACTGTGATAGTTGTGAACAAAACAGGACTTCATTTAGTTCACTATCATCCGTAATCAATTTATTCCAGGGAATAATTTTCAATTTTTTTTCAGTAGAAAACTTATATTTGTTCTAAATAACAAAATGCCGAATTAACTGCTCAATAGTCCGCGACGTAAATAGTTTCCATGCCAACGTCTGCAGCCAGTTCATACTTGATAATTTTAGATTATATCATTTTATCTTCAATGTCTTTAGACTCTCAACAAAATATTCCTACGGATTGAATGAGAAGAAAAACCGCGAGTTATTAAAATTTTGGAACACTTGTACTCCAAGTATGAATAACTGTTCTTTTGATAAAGATCGTATTCCAATCCAAGGAACAATTGATATCAAGTTTGATTGTAATTATTCTCGACTGAAATTTTTCATTCGTACATGACTGATTCACCGAAAAAAATGCTGCGTCGTCTACTCATAGGTTTTAGTGCAAAATGAATCGAGATTAGACTAATATTCGATACTTTAAGAGGTGAGTTGACTGTAAATTAAACTCGGGCCTAATTAACGTTGACTCTTTACTTAAAAATCTGAGGACACAATGCAAGAGTATGTCAGATTTATCATTGGATGTGAAAACCTTAGCCTTAGTGACTAGATACTTAAATAAATAAGAGATCGATCCTTAACCATAGTGAAATCTTAACCTTAGAGACTAGATAAGTAAATAAATAAAAGAGATCAAATATCTTTGGCAATCGATTGTTGTTGTTATGATGCAAAATTCGGGACCCATTTTGGACCATCCCATATTATGCAATTCTTGAGTTCTTCCAGGATTTGCAAATTTACTGTCTCAGAGACCGATTGGAAATGGTATAAGTTATTAACAAAAAATAAAGACAATATTTATCATTGAAGCATTAGGTGCACGAATCATCAATACTAATTACCGTTTTCTTTTAGAAAAAACTGAACTATCTTTCGATGTATTGCAACTTATTGAAAATCAAATGATACGAAATGGACCTTTTTTCCCCAGTTTCATTATCAGCCATGAAAAGTAGGTACTTAATTTCATCTTTAATTCAATTGTTTTTTTGCATCACAAAGGCTTTTCCATGAGTGGAGCTGGTTTTTTTTTTTTTTTGCTGAAAAATATGCATCAATGTTTAGCAAATTTCGTTAGAAAAGTTCAATCTATATCATTTGAAAAAAATATGTTGCAGATGACACCTCATAAATGTTGCTGTTCCAAGATTATAGAACCGTCAAATCCACGAAATAGGTTTACCATAAAATAATGTTTTGATAGATACGTTCAAGCCCAAGACGGCGTTCGATTCTCTAATTGTGTCATGAACAAGTAATAGACCAATATAAAAACATCATAAAAATATTTTAAGGCATAGGAAAGAATAAATAAGTGGTGAGTTTGTCTCAACTCCTGACGCAGGACGGTAGGTCGTCGAAGTATGGATGATTCATGGCGTCGGCGGCGTTCATGCGCTGCATCGGGTTGCACACCAGCAAACGCTGCACACAGTCAAAATGTTACCAAACAATCAACTTATTTCCGAAGTAAGGTCTTTTGTGAACAGATTTTATTAATGGAAATAAAACCAAAATTGAATTTGTACCTGATAATTATTCAAAACTAAAATTTCCAATAAAGAATTGTTGCTGCACTCGAGTTCACAATAGGGGTAAAGAGTAAATTTATTTTACAAATTAAGTACCGATGGACGTCACTTTTCTTAGGCCTCAAGATGCTCATACCTGCAGAACGTCTCTGCCCTTAGCGTTGAGCTTGGGACAGAGCTGACTTAGGCTGATGGTGACGGGGTAGTGGGGCAGAGGGCGGTAGTCAGGCAGGCTGCTCATGCCTGGCCAAGTCTCCTCCGTTGGTGTCCCCAGCAGCTTGAATATTCGCTTCAGCTGATCGTCCACATCACCACCAGGCAGCAAGGGGCGGCCTAGAATAACAAGTATGCAAATATCATTATGACGCATAGTTGTCTTACAAATTCCTATGAAAATTTTAAAAGTTAAAAGTTTTATTTTATTGCCTATGAAAATTTTCAAAATTAAAAGTTTTATTTTATTGCTAGTGTTCGTTATTTCTTACTGGCAGCATTTGATTCTTTCCCAAGCGACTCCTATGCTCAGGCCAGGGCAAGAATAGTACAAAGAGAGCGTTGTAATGAAACATTTCTTTAAATGTATCTCTTATCTTACAATGTAATAAAACTATAGGTACTGGGGAAACAAGTTCGCATCCTAACATGAACAAATTTACTAGCATAGAAAAAAGACATCCGAATAAATTCTAAGTTCAATATTTGATTCTTAACATCTTTCTATCTTCCTATTCACCATAACACGTTTATCTGTGATGTAGCCCTTGAATGTGGTATGGATTTGGCATTGGCTTGGTTTCCAGCATTAAAAGAATATTTGTTGCTCTTCGGTACTGGTCTGAACTTGATTTTACTGTCACTAAAGCAAACTTCGCTGCTCCTGTTCACTACATCTAATTAGTCGCTACACGTCACTCAACCGAACAAGGTAGTGGCACCGAGTTGATTGCTGCCACCAAAAGGTGCCTTCTTCAACAACATTCCCCAGGCGCTGTAGATTCATGGCGGCATCGCCTTACATACTCCAAGTGCTGAAATTCTGCCAATGTACTCAACCGTCCTTGACTCGACCGCAATCGTCCTTGACTTACTTCAATACTAGACTGGCCCGTTTCATACCGAATAGAATGTTTCCATGCCTCGACGCGCCTACAAAATCTCGTTCTCAAGGTATGCAGTCCCTCAAATTATATCAGCAAAGCCGCATCCAGCTTCTAACTGCTCAGAATTTTTAAACCCATTCTCAACTTCTGATTTCTCGGAAAGCTATGTTTTGTATTATAATATTAAGTAAATTTGAATCACTTCCATTCCATGCAAAGCACCTTTGAAAAAATTATTTCAATCTACGTTTGTATTATAAAATTGTAAGACAAGGCTCATTATTATGAGAAAGCATAAAAGTCAAACGACAAATCAGCTCCATAAAAATTATGAAGAAAAAGTTAATATCCACGCAATGAAATGGTTTTAAAAATTGACGTTGCTTAGGCTTCAGGGGCCATACTTTCAAAAAAATTAAGAGATCGTAAGTTCATTAACCAATCATTGACGGCCTTTCAAGCAAAATCCACCAATCATAGACAAGAAAATAGAGTGTAAATACTTGCGTTAACTTAGCGAGTTTTGAAAGTATGGCCCCTGGTCTCTTGTGTCCGGATTATCATACCAGCATTGGCGAGCTCAGCAAATATGCAGCCAGCGCTCCACATGTCGATGCTCGTGTTGTAGAGCTTGGCTCCGAAGAGGACATCAGGAGGTCGGTACCACAGCGTGACAACCTCGGCAGAGTAGCACCGCACTGGGATGCCAAACGCGCGAGCTAAACCGAAGTCGGCCAACTTCAACTCTCCGTTCTTAGAATAAAAAGAGTGATTGTTATCATCCCATTTCTCATGGGAATACAGTTTCTATTGTTGCATAGAGCTCAGAAATGATTAGCCTTGCGGATGTCGTGTAGTATTGTTCCGCAGGTGACGCCATACGCACCTCATAACGTAAATATTGCTCACTAACTATATTCAAGAGTGGCTTCTTTGAACTAACTTTATGAACAACTGACCTCCTCGAATCCTCTGGAAAAGTCTTCACAATATCATCTAGTATTGCTAAACACATTGACAGTATCAAAATGCAATTATTACGTGCGGTTAATGAAATAAATGGAAAATAAACCAACCGAGTGAACTGCTTTTTAACGGTTGTTAAATAAGTTAATGGCGGCCATTAGGCTGAACGTCATAAAAAGTGAACTACCCCTCTAAATATCACGTTCTTGGCGAGCTTGTATTCTTGCATCTCTGTGATTTTTGCCGTTTCAAGTTTTCACTCTAATGCTGGTTTACTTTCCCCAACGTATCTTTTTTGGGTAGGCTTGTATGACAATATTGCTCTTGTTACTCGTGTCAGGCGGTAGAGGGTTAATAAAGAGAAGTTGCATCCAAAGGGTAAAAACTGTGAATAATATCAATCAAAGAGATGCAAAATCCATTCACCCGACAAAAACGGAATTAGTTTTAAGACGCTTTCCATTTTTACATCATCATACGGATGATCAGAGAAATGGCAGCCATTATCAAAGCACTAATTAAGTTGATCGGTCAGCCCCCGGAGATTTTATTTTCCACTTATTTATTTCCCGTACGACAGAAATAGTTTATTTTGCTATTATGGATATGAACAAGGCTTGTTGCAACTATGGGAGAATTTTTACGAAATTTGAAAAGGAAATTTTTTTAATTAGTTCAAAACAGACACTTCTAACGCGTGTTTGGCGACACTCACGTCATTTGTTTACGTTTTTGATACTTTCGATGTCACATCGGAGATGTGCAGTACGATGTCAAAATTTCTCGAAGCGTGGGTCAACCTTATATGGTTCATCCATTTAGAAATGGTCAGTGCGAGTGAACTACTTTGCTGTACATGAGAAACGAAGAACTTCAAATCGCAATTCAAAGGGAAAACTAAGAAGCTCATGAGTAGTTAGATCACAATGTGAGTAATAAATTTTATATCATAAAACTCTAAAGCAAGCCTCAACACGTGATTTGAATCAAAGGTTTATTTAGATGCTGAAAATAACGGCAAATTTATAAAAATTCTTCGATGTTTGCTAAAAACATTCGATTGGGTTGAAGAGGTCCACAAGGCAATAATAATAAAAGTTATAACGTCATTAAAACCACAAAGTTAGATTAACAATTCCTTTTAGAGGTACTCACTTTGTTGATGAGCAGATTTTGAGGTTTGAGGTCTCTGTGGAGGATGTTTTTGTTGTGGCAGAAGTCCAGCCCACGTAGTAACTGGAACCTGATCGAGGCACATTAATAGAAGAAACGCAAGTGCAAACATTTTTTCACTAATCCTTCAAAGAGAAAATGTTATTAAATGCTTACGAAAATGAATAATATTCAATACCACACTACGAACAACAATATCACATTAATATTCACAATTAAATCTAAATACAGATGATCGCACATGAAGCTCTTGACAACGTCGGGATCGATCTCGCCATTGAGGCAGTCGAAGTATTTCTTGAGGTCCTGGTCGCAGTGTTCGAACACGAGGGTGAGCTTGCGGTCAGAGTGTAGCACGTCGATGAGCCGCACGATGTTCTTGTGGTGCAGCTCCTTCAGCAGACAGATCTCCCGCAGCGCCGACGACGGAACGCCCTGAGTGAACGTATGCAGCACCACACTAAATTTAGAATACAATCAACTTATGAATTCACACCATCATTGTCATTTATATATATTACAGTCAAGAGAAATACTGAGATATCTACAATGGAACGCACAGATGCCCTTTCATATGTCTTGGGGCATCTTTTCAGATGCCCCATATGTCATATGTATGAGTAATATAAATACTACCGGTATTTGTATTACTCATGTACACATTTGTAAAGAAGAAAAACTATTTTCCAAGACTAGTTTCATCATCATATGTGAATTCTTCCTCTACACTGACCTCGTCATCGTCGTCGAGACGGACGCGTTTGAGCGCCACGATAGCCTGCGTGTCGCGGTCCTTGGCCTTGAAAACCGTGCCATACGTGCCTGCCGGGCATCAGGACTGCGTTAGGAGTGAACTTGGCTTCAAAAATATTAACATTCCAATGTTTCTCTATCTATGTATTTAAACACAACAGAAAAATATTGGATTAAACTCTCTCACGAAAGCAATAAACTAGAATTAATGATCTGACGATCCTTTAATCAGTTTTGAAGTTTTCATATTAAGAAAAGTAGTCACGAAATCATCGGCTCTTTGGAGTGTCGTCGAATTGAGATTGGTCCGCTTACACGAATTTCCAACGAGGCTATTTTCCAAGGCAGAGTAGGACAGTCTTTTCCTGCTTTTTGTACGGTAGTCGATTCGCGTTGATTCGGATTTATTTGCAGTGCAATGATGTTATTGTGTAACATGAGACTGAAGGGCGAAAAAATAATCTGAGCCAAAAATTTTATAGATTAGGATTGGAACGAGGATTAATTCGGGAAAAAGTTTATTTAGGCTTCTCTGCAGGCAAGGCATCACACGATGACATGCAACAGTGATCAGGTGACCAGTTTATCGTCCCACTAGAGCACAGAAACTTACTACGCCAGATTCCTGTGGTCGAGACTAATGCGGATTATCCAGTCAGCAGTGAAACTCTCCTGTGCCAGGACCGCGGGTGTGACGGTGACGAACTTTAGTCCTTGTACTCCAAGTGCAATGAATTTCAAATTGCTTTCCCCACGCTTCAACACTGCTCGTGTCATAGACTACAGACACTTGGATCGCTGATGCAGTAGTAGTCTATGCACCTGATTTATTCGTCTGCCGCCGCCTCGTCCGTTTCCACGTATCTCCACATGCCCGGGTCCCCAGATAATGTACATTGTTTTTCGTGGCTGTTCTAGCCACATCATTCTTCTTAGAATTTACACGACGATGAGACATTAATAGCATTTTCAGGCCTGAATTAGCCTCCAAGTCCGTGAACAGAATGAAGTGTACCTCCGGGAGGACATCCACTAGGATGACGGCACATAGAACTAAGAAGTATAGAAAGTTGGGTTGGTTCAGTCCATGGTTGAACTAGTATAAGGTAGAACCATGAGAAGCTCATTTTTGCGGATGTAGTTGTTGTTCGCCTGTGACGTCACTGATCATAGTAACGTCACAGGCATTAACCAATCACCGAAATGCGTTCAAACAAGTCAACCAATCAATCATGGGAATGACGGGATTGTTTACGTTTCTGGATCTCAGTGACATAATAAGAAAGCTGCTGAACTGAAAGACGGAAATCCTCGTGGGTCAACCTTCTTCATGCTTAGTGCCGTCGGCCTCAGCCTCACACCTTTCTGCTGACTTTTTTTATCGTCCGCCACTTAATACGAGTCACGCACGTTTTTATGGCTTGGAGCCTAGTGATTCAGGAACAAGTTTTTCGTTGCTGTCGAGTGGTTTTGTGGAGGGAAGTTTTGTCTTGACAGATTGTGTCGATGCTTATTCGCAATTCGTATTTACACGAGCTTTACAGGCTCTCGCATCAGTTGGTTTTAAATTTAAACTCTTGGCACTATTCTGTAAACTTTAGAAGATTGTATAAGTATGGAAATAAATTTGATTGCTATTCGAACATAAAATTAAACACCATTAGGTACATGGGTAAATGTAGAGACTATCTACTGACGCGTGAGATGTGTTCCGAGAAGATTGAGTGAGGATTCAGCACCCAATTCTAGATAATGATGGGTAATCTGTTCTAAAAGCTGCGGTACATATAATAATGACAACGTTACCGATAAGAGTTCCATTCGGTGTAAGAGTTGTAATCGGAAATAGGCGCGCGCCGACCTCTATTAAGGTCGTTAGAGCAGTACTGGACGGTGGCATATTCATTTATTCTAGATCCATAAATAAAAATTCGTGACTTCCTAGGCATCTAATATATTTTAAATTAAAAATTTTTCAACAATATTCGAAAAAGACAAACTCTATTCAGTTATAAATCGAAACCCATCCTATAAAAATAGAGAAATAACATTACAAACTCAGGATGCATGATCTTCGCCTCGCGGTCCCTTCTCCAGTCTACAAAATTCCACTACTGTTTTATCCTCCTCTCTCTCGCCTCCACAGGATATCAAAATATCTCTTCACACTCTCAATCACAAGCACAGCTGCTCAAGTTAGCCCTAAGAAACAACACATTCATCGAACAAGGTCAAAAAGAAGCAGGGAGTAGAATAGCCCAACACTGTTAGCCTACGCAAGACGGCAAGAATGAATTTTACACCACCCGGACACAGCAAGCAAAAATATATAATTATCGAAACTCAACAATATAGTCATATTATCAACAAAATTTTGTATAAAGAAATTGTTTTGCAATATTTTGTAAACGAACACGCAAGCCATTTGAAATCGAAGGCATATCGCTGCCTAGTGGTGACTTGCACGTTTCATGCAACTGCTCAGGAGAGCTACGATTGACCGAACACGTCTGACACCGAACACGACGTCCTCGACACGTTAGTTCCTACGGTATCATTAGTACGCTCAGATATAGCTTTTATTGTCGCTTTCACGGCATGTTGTGGGTTCGGTCGACTTTGCAAAACGGGCAACACCGTGTTTGATCGGCCAGCATCTCGTCTGCCCAGGAATACTACAGATATCAAATAATCACAATTAATGGGCAGAGAGCGTATCGGGTCGTCGTAGGCACGTTAGAATTCGTAGGCCGGCTAATGCAAAAAAATAACTCTGCCTTCGCTAGAAAGAGCAGTTGTGCCACCTCAGCTCGTGTGGAATTTTTACTCAAGCCAATCGGCCGAGATTGAAGCTTGGACCGCAATGTACTCTTGTTATCAGGGAAGCGCACCTGCCCGCGACGTAGTGTGATGACATGGTTGTGCTAGCATAAAAATATAAATTCTTGTAATTAATATTCCTTAGGAAACTGTTTTTTTTAGAAATTATCCTGAGTAACATATTCATGAAAAATAAGGCATGCAAAACCATTTTTGCTGCACGACATTCATAACACAGGTTTATCTTCTCACCTTCGCCGATTTTTTCGAGCTTCTCGTACCGCTGCATCGTTTCTGACTGCGAGTCGTGACCAACAAGTAATTAAAATCACCGATGATTCTTGTTCATGAAGAGCAGTCTTAATGCTGAGCAGTTAAGAGCATTGCCGTCAAGTTGAGCCCATTTTGACAAATAACTTATCTTAATTTTCAGGTAAATAAATAAGAAATTTTGGGATTGCTAAATAATATAAATAAGTTTCGGTGGGAGCACTTTTCAAGAAGGAATAAATTGTAAACAATTACCTTCAACCTTCAACATTTGATGTCGGAAGTTGCTAATCAAGTAGTTTCGATACAAAAATAACAACAGTTGTTTTATGCAGGCACATTTAATCGATACAAATTTGTAACGAATAAAATAAAAATTTAGTCAAGCTTAACTCATCCGTTGCTACTTTGATTCATTTTCAAAATTAATACGCACCAATAAAATAAACTATCAAACTTTTTTTTAATTTAACAAATATTTTTCACAAACTACCTAGCGCAGTAAAAATCAAATAAACTTTTTAAGTGAAGGTACGACCGTAAGCTCAACATGGCCATGAAAAACTTTTAAAGCTAAAATATTATTTTAACAAATGAAGGGTCTATAACGAATGAAGAATCTAGTGTCCAGGACTGGGGACCTGAGGGCTTGTCCAGACACCCTATGAGAACCAACTTCTCACCCCTGCAGCAACGAAGCTTTTTTGTTAGCCATGTCAACAAGGGTATTAAAATACCACTGTAATTACGTACTTTGGCATCAAGGATAAAAAAAATGTACAGGTAATTATTAGCTTAAAATTTCAAAACAATTATCAATAATCAGGTACACTTCCAAGTCCTTATTTGAAATGTTATGAATAGCATTAAACAAATGGTCATAAATAACCACTAGAAATTTCCATTAATTCAAAACGAACTTATTTCTGTGTTATAACAGAAATTTTAACACAAACTTAAGAAACAAGTATCAGAATTTCGTGGAAATATTTTAATGGATGTTTTAGGACAAGTGGCAACAAGCTCTTCATCTTCAGACTGATGGCAACTAGAGTGCTCTTAGAACATTGACAGCCGACATAAGTACTTGGAAATAGTTTATAAACTTAGATGAACTTTCGAAACTATTTAAAAGTACGAACAAATTAGGAACTCGTTTCATGGAGCAATCAGCCATGCCATTATAATTACGAAATTACAGATAGTAAACTCACGAATTACTATTTTCGTAATAAGAGCATAACATAAAGACATGAGTATGAATAAATAACAGTGTTGAGGTGAACTAGAATATTTAGCGTCGCTACGCCGCACTGCGAACGCTGGCAGGCACGTCGGCAAAGTAGGGGAAGCACATGGCGTCGTCAGCGCTTATGCGCAGGTCTGGACAGCACACCAGGAGTCGCTGCCAAGCAATGGAAATATGATATTAAACAGAGAATGTTATGTGACAAGAAGCAAGCTTTAAATTCAGGGTGCAATACTAGTATCTCGTAAAAAAATAAAGCCAGTATTTGAATTGGAACTGAGAGGCGTGCCAACCTCTTGTCAGACCTTTAGGACGGTCACCTATGCAATACAATTGCATTTAATAAAAATTCTGCAATTGCCGTCTCCCAAGGAATCTAAAATATTTCGCTTAAAAATGTATTCATACCAATATCCTAAGACACTAAAATATGTTCTATAATAAACATCGATAAGCATCATAAAAAACGGAACAACAGTACAAACATTCGGCCTAATCAACTCGGTTTCCTTTGTCTCTCTCAGGCTCCACAAAATCTCCAAATACCTCATTACACTCTTAATCACATCCAAAGTTGCTCCCACAAACAAACCCACGATGATAGCAAATTTAGCAATGCATTCTTTGCTTGTTCACTCATAACCCCACTCTATTATTCTCATCTCCCTCAATCAGAATTTCCACCATCACAGCACGTCATTTTCTCACATGTAACCTCAGATGTATACCTGTAGTACGTCTCTGCCCTTAGCGTTGAGCTTGGGACAGAGTTGACTGAAGCTGATGGTGACGGGGTAGTGGGGCATGGGGCGGTAGTCGGGTAGGCTGCTCATGCCTGGCCACGTCTCTGGCGTGGGTGTCCCCAGCAGCTTAAATATTCGCTTCAGTTGATCGTCTTCATCATTACCAGGAAAGAGTGGTCGGCCTGAAGACATGGGACAGTGTTAAAGAAAACTATCGATGAAGCACTAATTTTAACATTAGTAGAATTGGCATTCATGATCTCATAGGGTTGCATGAAGTACAAATAGAAACGCACCAAATTGATATGAATGAATTCGTTTGAGACAATTTATTCACATGAGAGGAAGAACAGAACACTTGTAATCAATGTTCATTTTAAAAATGTCCATAAGTTATAATAAAATTTCACCCTTATAACCCTTGAACCAATGCAAAATTATCATTATTAGGAAATTTCATAACACACTTCTAATAACTCAATTATTTTCATTTTGTCCATACTTTCAATATTAGTGGAACTCTAGCCCACCAGCATTGGCGAGCTCAGCAAATATGCAGCCAGCACTCCACATGTCAATGCTTGTGTTATAAAGATTGGCTCCAAATAGAACATCTGGAGGTCTGTACCAGAGCGTGACCATTTCTGAAGAGTAGCAGCGCACAGGGATGCCAAATGCACGGGCCAGCCCAAAATCAGCTAACTTCAGCTCGTTATTCTGGAATGTAGGAATGAAATTCTAACATCCAGCAATGTTTTTTGACAAAGATCTCTTATTTATGATAAACATAGAGATACCAAGCAATATGGGCAACAGAATACATAAGTCAAGAAATTACTTTGTTGATGAGGAGATTCTGAGGTTTCAAGTCTCTGTGGAGGATGTTGCGGCTGTGGCAGAAGTCAAGACCACGAAGCAGTTGAAACCTAAAGGGTCATATAGATTCATTTTTAGCCACAAATAAGCTATTGAGAATCAAAGTAACTATTTCAAAATTAGGCTCGAAAATATTCAAAACCATTTCTAGTGAAATCGTAAAACTCACATAAAGCTCTTGACAATATCAGGATCTATTTCCCCATTTAGACAGTCAAAGTATTTCTTGAGGTCCTGGTCACAATGCTCAAAGATCAGAGTGAGACGGTGATCATTAGGATTCAAGAGGACATCCATCAGGCAGATGATATTCTTGTGATGAAGCTCTTTCAGGAAGCCAATTTCTCTTAATGCTGAGGCAGGGATGCCCTGGAAAATTATGTGAACATTTTTAATTCTGAGGTAATACGAGTTTGATTTAGCAATTGAATTTCACACTGATAAGTTGCAGTATAGGTACTTCCATTGTCACTGAATTTGAGACTAGTGATTTCTGGATTGCATTCAGGTGCTAAAGCTAAGGCATTATATTTAACTCAGCTGAAAAAATCAAAATAATTATCTCAAAGATTTATTTAGCAATCAAAAATTAGATTCTGTAATGAAAACAATTTAGAGTGACTCAAGAAAATAGATCACAAGGTTCTAAATTTTCATATATTTTTAACAAGTAGTTGTAGTAGTAGTAGTCGGGGAGAGATTTCTAGTGCTTCAGATCCGATATTTTTAACAAATGATGAAGGTGATGCAGAAATATCAGGTTTTAACTTTGAATTCTATACTGAATACTACTACCCACCTGGAGAAAGAGTCATAATTCACAAGAGCCAGTTTATTAATAAAAAATGTGCTTTAAGATAGGAATTTTTTATAAACATATCTAGAACCAATTGTATTTAATACTACGTATATATTTAGAGACGACATAAATGTACACATTTGTCAAATTTTGTGTGTTTTTCAAGCTAGTTATCACAAATATGTAGACAGTTTTCACGTGCATATCCACAATAGTACTAATTATGATGGGATATTAGCAGAATATGAAATTTCAATCTGTGAGGGAGAATAGGAAAAGATTGGAGGAAAAGGAAGAAAGGATTAAATCAAAATTTGAAAATAGATTTTCTAAGTTGCTACATATAAATTAAGTTAAAAAAACATGAACAGTTTTTTCCATATTTTGAAATGAAAGATGATTGGAAGTCCTGTCTTTATAGTAAAATTTGTGTTTGGAGGGGTCTTTATTCAGTTAAAATACATATATAAGCTTTATTGTTTTTGAAAGGATTAGGGATTACAGGAATGATAGGATTGGTATTGCAAAGTTGTAGGAATTATCAAACCCACGCACTACCAGACAAATCTGCTGGTTAATAACAAACAAATGTGACAAGTTTTTGAGGTATAGAAATAAACTCAACTATTCAATAAGAAAAATATTAATTGTAAACTTACAGTATCATCTGTGTTCAGGCGTACTCTTTTCAAAGCCACAATTTCTTGGGTTTCCCGATTCTTTGCCTTGAAAACTGTCCCATATGTACCTGAAAAATAGGAACTAACTATGAATAATGAAGGATTACAAACTTAAGGGATCTCGTGCATTTCACAGAGGATGAATTTGAAGACTTCCTACAAAAACTAATGAATGCCAAGCTAAAGAGAGATAATCAAGGAAGTACTGCAGGACTTAGCCATGAACATGATCAGGGTTTTGGTACCCAAATTTTGACTATTATTTAGGATTTGTTGCCAGAGAATCAGAGATACCTAAATCATCAATATTTCTTGCAAAATATACCGTAAATTGGGGTTACTTTGACCGACGGGGTAACTTTGACCACTTTTTGTTTTTTTAACAAACACCCCCAAAACTCAAAAACGATTCAACATAGAAAAATTTTGTCAATGGCCATCAAAGGCCTAATACTGAGGCTACGTAACACAATAGAAAGATTTGAAAAGTTTGCATATCTAATAGGTTAAAAAATTAAAAATGTGACCCACGAAAAAGAGCTATTATTTAAAGCCTGTCGGAGTACCCCCTCCAATTTTCTTATTTTTTGGTAAAATAACTCCAGGTTTTGATGCATTGTAGTAGAACTCTTCTAGTTACATATGCAAAAGACAAATTTTAGAAAAGTGTCATAGTTTGCAAATGGGGGGCGCCGCCCCCCAATGGGGTAACTTTGACCACCTAATGGCAGCCCTGACGGGGAACATTGACCGGCTTGGAAATTAAGTTAAAATTACCATAGGTATCTATACAACATATTTTATGTTTGATACACCTATTAATGTTTTTTTCTTCATGTTTCAGACTCTACAGAGTCTTATATATGGTAATTTTAACTTAATTTCCAAACCGGTCAATGTTACCCCGTCATGGCTGCCATTAGATGGTCACATTTTGCCCATTTGGGGGCAGCGCCCCCCATTTGCAAACTATGACACTTTCCTAAAATTTTCTTTTGCATATGTAACTAGAAGAGTTCTACTACAATGCATGGAGTTATTTGGAGTTATTTTACTAAAAAATAAAATTGATTTTACCACCCGGTCAAAAAAAACCCAAGAGCTGCAGTAACAAAGACCATCACTTTTTTTTAAATTACATCAAAACTATGAGAGGCAGGAGCCAGCAATTTATGGTGAGTAAAGCTAGAGTATAGACCTGTATTTTGCATGTTTCAATTTAAGTTTAACTTATCTAGTAAAAAAATTGCATCATTTTGAAAAAAAAGTGGTCAAAGTTACCCCAGTTTACGGTACAGATAAAGAGGTATATATTTAAACATGTTAGCAAAACTACCATATCTTGGCCAGACTATGTGCTGCTAAGGTACAGCTAGATCTTCAAATATTCACTAACTCTCTGCACCAGGGCACCTTAGGATAATTCATATTAAATTTTATGAAAAAATTGGATATATAATTCCTATCTGAAGAGGAGCTCAGGAGGAATACAAGCAGACTTAGAATAATCCTACCTTTTTCTAAAATATTAGGTCTATAATTCCAAACCACTTTTTCTTCATTGAATTGGAAATCTTGCACTTACAAAGTTGTGTATTTTGGAATTTGGTTCAGTTAAAAAAAATCTAGTTACAGACCACTATGCAGAGAGTGAATGAATATTGCAAGATCTTTGGCGACGCTTCAGTAGCGAAATTTATGCCTTCAGAAGATCTTGCCGACACATTTAGATTGAAATTCTTTCATTTAATATATTTGTCAGTCTTTGGCCAACTATTTAAAAAAAGTAAGGTTTCCGGTATGTTGCATTGATCAGTATGCAGTGAAGCATGTCCGGAAATCAGTTGCGATGAGTTCCTGTCAAAAAAATGTAAATATCAAGTTCACGATTATGTAGTTGCGGTCACATTAGAGCGGTCAGACTGCATTATCCCATGTTCAGTTGACACTTGCTGTACAATTGGACTGTTTTTAGGGTAAAATTAGTTATTTGGGGTAACACATGCATGCAACCTTGTAAATAAGTTTGTGGCTTGTAAATAGTTTTCCATTACTCAGCGTAAATGGCTTTTCATTAAAAATTACCCGGCGACGCATCTTAAAATTACCTGGCGATGCATCTTAAAATTACCAGGCAACACTTAGGGCTTAAAAACCCATATATTGGCGACACTGCATCCACCCTCTGCACCATGGGTTACAGATAAGAAAGGATTAATTTCCCTATAATATACACAGAGCTACAATAAAAAATTATAGAATAAAGTAAAAATATTATTTCATGGTTCCTGTTCATTAGTGTTTAAATATTTTAGTTTGCCAAAATTGTTTGTTTACATCTTTGACTCTCTAACTCACTTTTACTTGCTCTGATTAGGGTAAACGCGGTATATTCGGTCACATTAAGGATGCATCGAGAAATGAAAAACTATAATAAAATAACCGTATGCGTTACTCAAGTTCTGTTTGCTTTATGTGACTCTCAAAACACCGCACTACATGTCAGCAACAACAAAACGTCACAAAATGTTGCCATATTTATTTAAAAGCCTTTAGAATGCAAACCTACCAAATCCCTATATTCCATCACTGTGTGTGGCAATATTCGGCACGTGAAGAGGCGTATTCCGTCCGCACTTCAAATTCTACTGATACGTAATGCCGTCATCTACGTGTTCGAATTCCGTTTGCTGTGTGAGCTGTATTGGAATACAACACGGCTTTGAATTAGAACACTTATGAATATTGAACACTACTTAATTACGCTATTAATTAACAACTTTTAAGCTTTTTATTAAGCAAATTTTAATTTTTGTACACAGTTTGGAACGACCTGTGTGTGTCCAATTCAAGTTGTGACGGAATTAGTTTTCATGTGTCTAAATCCATTTCTCAACTTAATCATCTATTAATTTATTTACCACGTGAAATCAGCAAATACAAGTATACTTAAAGGATTCCTAATATATTCACAGACGTATTTAAAAGTCTCAAACCATAATATTCTTCCCACACTCAGGAAGATGTATATAAACGGGGAATTTTCTCGCGTAAATCAATCTAATTATATTTTTTTCGCGCAGACGTTCGTGCAAATCACGGTCATCGATTCCGCGCCGCGCAGCACTCGGCG